ATAAAGTAAAAATTAACCTTAAAATTTTATCTTGTATGTACTGTGACTACACAACAGTACAAAGCTTGTGTTTACAAGTGCATATTTTTAACAAACACAAAGAACAAAATGAGTTGGATAATAAAGTTCCAATAAAAATAAAAATTCATTCTTGTGTGTATTGTGATTTTACAACAGTGGAAAAACAAAGGTTGCAAAACCACATTTATATTAACCACAAAGAACAAAATGAGTTGGAAAATAAAGTGGAAATAAAACTAAAATTTTATTATTGTATGTACTGTGACTACAAAACAAATCATAATTATCAAAAGTTACTAAACCATATCCATACAAAACACAAAGAACAAAATAAGCTGGAAAATAAAGTGTCAATAAAAACTCACTCTTGTGTGTACTGTGACTTTACAACAGTGGGAAAATATAGTTTGCGAAACCACATCCGTATTAAACATAGAGAACAAAGTGAGTTTGAAATGAAAGGTCAAACAGAAATGGATGTTTACCTTTGTGAGTACTGTGACTTTTCAACATTCATAAAGCACAAATTACAAAACCACATTTATATGGAACATAAAGAAAAATAAATTGGCATTAAAAATAAAAAACTAATTTTGTGTGTACTGTGACTTTACAACAGCTACATAATATAATTTACAAACCAACATCTTTAAAAACCATAATGAACTAGAATTAGGAAGTGGAAAAAACATATTTATGCTAAAACCTTAGGTTTTTGTATTGCATTTTCTGTTACAATCTAGTGTGCGATAGAAACCACATTCTACAAAATGTGAATTTTCAAACAAGCAATATCCCTAAGGTGTTTCAGATTTTCGAAAACTGTTTAATTACTGTAAAAATTGTAAACAAGGTTTTTTGTAAACATAAACATATTTGTATACCTATGTCAAAACTTAGTTAATAAAATGCATTTTACTTTTACTTGTATTATTCCTAATACAATGCTATCAGCAAAATTTTTATGTCTGGTTAACAGAATACACCCTGTATAACCACAAACGATATAATTAGTTCAAATACCGTTAATATGATGGCTTTTTTAGCATCAGTAACAAACACTAAGAAATAACTTTCAATTATGTCCTAAAATATAAATTTCCTATATAGTTTTTTCCTTGGGACTCCCAGCACAAGAAACGTTGGTGAGTATACTGGTATACCAAAAATTACATTATCTAGAATAGATTATGTAATTTAAAAATTATTTTGAAGATGGTTGTGTTATGATAAAATAATTTTGGACAACGAAAAATGTGTTAAGAAGAAGTGAAGAAAAAAAAAAGACATTCTGATGCAGGATTTACCAAATACAGTTAACGATTTTTGTCATAGGAACGTGAACTGCATAAGGTTTTTTATGTTTGCTAAGTAGCTTATGTTCCGAAGCATAAACAGGTACAATAGACAATCTCACAAGTGACATTAACACTATTTAACAAAATGATTTAACTTAGAAATATGTATATATGTATGTTCATTCTTTAAACAATAAAAAATAAAATAAATATATTTACTTTTATTTTTAATAAACAATTATATATTAGACCATTAAGTACTACTTAAAGCCTTTTTACGTTTTTTACTAACAATTTAATTTTGTTTTAGTCAAACATCAAGTATATGCAGTTACAATGGATGTATTTTCTCAGGATCAAAATACGAAATAACCAAACACATGATCAAATGCCATGGTTATAAAGAAACAAAATCTAAAAGCTACCCTTGTGTGTACTGTGACTTTACAACAACTAAAAATCATAAATTACAAATGCACGTCTATGCTAAACATAAAGAACAAAATGAGTTAGAAAATAAAGTTATGATAAAAACAGAAATTTTCTCTTGTGCGTACTGTGACTATACCACACCTTATAAAGAATTATTGCCAAGCCATATGTTCTCAAAACATGAAGATCAAAACGAAAGAAAAAATAAAACGGATTATTCTTGTGTTTACTGTGACTATACTACAACCAAAAACCGGCTTTTGCAAAGCCACACATATCGCAAACATAAGGAACGAAATGAGCTGGAAAAAAAAGTGACGATAAATTTAAAAACTTACTCTTGTGTGTACTGTGACTTTACAACAGTGGAAAAACGTAGTTTACAAATTCACATATTTAACAAACATAAAGAACAAAACAAGGTAGAAAGTAGGGTAGAGATTAAAATAAATACTTACTCTTGTGTGTACTGTGACTATACTACGACAAAAAAAATGCGTTTACAAAACCACGTAAATCGAAAACATGAAGAACAAAATAAGTTAGAAAAAAAAGTGGCAATAAAAAGTTACTCTTGCGTGTACTGTGACTTTACAACAGTGGAAAACCGAGTTTTACAAATTCACATTTATAGCAAACACAAAGAACAAAATGAATTGGAAAATAAAGTGGCAATAGAACTAAAAGTTTTATCTTGTATGTACTGTGACTACACTACAGTGAAAAGTAAGTGTTTACAAGCACACATTTATAACAAACACAAAGAACAAAATGATTTGGAAAATAAAGTGTCAATAAAAATAAAAACCCACTCTTGTGTGTACTGTGACTTTACAACAGTGGAATATCGAGTTTTACAAAGCCACATTTATAAGAAACACAAAGAGCAAAATAAGTTGGAAAATAAAGTGGCAATGGCAATGCTATCTTGTACGTACTGTGACTACTCAACAGTAAGAAGTAAGTGTTTACAAGCGCACATTTATAACAAACACAAGGAACAAAATGAGTTGGAAAATAAAGTGGCAATAGAACTAAAAATTTTATCTTGTATGTACTGTGACTACTCAACAGTAAAAAGTAAGTGTTTACAAGCGCACATTTATAACAAACACAAAGAACAAAATGAGTTGGAAAATAAAGTGTCAATAAAAATAAAAACTTACTCTTGTGTGTACTGTGACTTTACATCAGTGGGAAAACAAAGGTTACAAAACCACATCTATACTAAACATAAAGAACAAAACGATTTGGAGAAGAAGGTTCAAATAAAAGTTGAAACTTACTCTTGTGTATACTGTGACTTTTCAACAGTCGGAAAACCAAAGTTGCAAGACCACGTGTATAGGAAACATAAAGAACATAATAAAAGAAAATAAAGTAACTAAAAAATAAAAATCTACTTCGGTGTGTACTGTGACTGTTTAACATAACACACAAGAATATTTATGTTAAAATGTAGGTAAAATTGACTAAACCGTTCTTTAACACTATGATTGAATGTGGAATATCGAATATATCTGCGATGGTTCACACCTGAATAATGTTATTTATAGGAAAATATTTTCCCGGATGTTTATTTTTATATAATTTATAGTTTTTTTGTTATAATTTGTTTAAAACCACACGATCTTGTTACAAAACCTTTGTATACTTATCCTAAAAGTTAATAAAATTAAAACTAAAATAAGTAATTAAAAAAATTTGAATCCTAGAACTCAAGTCTGGAATTAGGCCAAATATCAACAACAAAAAAACTAATCACTTGCTATTAGAACATATATGACTTTATCTTGCATTTAATTCTATCCTCAGAAAAATACGTTAATTTAAAACCTATCAGCCGAAGACCCTAATCGTTTAATCCAATGAAGGCCGGTGGTTTGTTAATGTTTTCGTTTTGAGGTTAACTTAATACCTATAGCTAAATTACGATTTCGTTTGTAAAACAATTTAATGTATAATGTATAATATTATGTTTATGTAACAATAAATATAAAAATAAAAATATTTGATTTTATTCTTATTGAACAATAACAATAAACAATAATTATTTAAAAAAATTTACACATACTTTTTTCCAAAAATTTATTTTGTTTTTAGTCAAGCATCAACTATATGCAGATACAATGGCTGTATTTTCTCAGGATCAGAATACGAAGTAACCAAACACATAATGAAATGCCGTGAACATAAACTAACAAAAATTAAAAGTAACCGTTGTGTGTACTGTGACTTTACAACAATGAAAAATCATAGTTGGGTCAGAATTTCTCAAACGGGCCACCTGAATTAGGTCAAAATTAGTTTTTGATTGTAGATACATTTTTTCGATAGTATTTTACATCACTAACACAAATCCTAAAGGATTTTGTAAAAAAAAAAATTTCAATTGACATATTCATGATATTAAAAGTAAAAGTTTTTAGTAATTAAAAAATAAAAAAAAATCATTATGGCTAAACTAATTATTCGATTCCAACGATTTAACTAGCGTTGGAATCTTGTTTTGACATAGATTCTTTGTTATTTTTTTCAATTGTACAATTTTCATTTAGGTCGATTTTTTTTTGTTTTTTTTTATAACAAATTCGGAAATAATTGGCTTCTGCGCCAGCTATCGACTCGAAAAAAAAAACACATATACTCCAATCATTTTTCGAAATTATGCTGCTGAGAAAAAAAATGGCCCGCAGGTTCCAGACCACCGTAAGACGTCGCGTCACAAGCGCGTACAGCGTACACGGTTCGGAGCGTGAGCTGACACCGCGCGCGGCCACAAAAGGACGAATAACTTTTTGTCAACCTGCGGGCCATTTTTTTTCTCAGCAGCATTATTTCGAGAAATGATTGGAGTATATGTGTTTTTTTTCTCGAGTCGATAGCTGGCGCAGAAGGCAATTATTTCCGAATTTGGTATAAAAAAAACAAAAAAAAAATCGACCTAAATGAAAATAGGACAATTGAAAAAAATAACAAAGAATCTATGTCAAAACAAGATTCCAACGCTAGTTATATCGTTGGAATCGGATAATTAGTTCAGCCATAATGAATTTTTTTATTTTTTAATTATTAAAAACTTTGACTTTTAATATCATGAATATGTCAATTGAAAATTTTTTTTTTACAAAATCCTTTAGGATTTGTGTTAGTGATGTAAAATACTATCAAAAAAATGTATCTACAAACAAAAACTAATTTTGACCTAATTCAGGTGGCCCGTTTGAGAAATTCTGACCCAGTTTACAAATGCACATCTATATCAAACATAAAGAACAAAATGAGGTAGAAAAAAAGGTTATAATAAAAATAGAAACTTTCTTTTGTGTGTACTGTGACTATACTAGGTCTTATGAACAATTATTGCAAAGCCACATTTTTATAAAACATAAAAAAGAAAATAAATTAAAAAATAAAGTAAAAATAAAAATAAGAACCTACTCTTGTGTGTACTATGAATATTCAACAGTGGGGAAACAAAGGCTACAAAACTACATCTACAGTAAACACAAAGAACAAAATGACGTGGAAAAAAAAGTTTTAATAAACATAGAAACTTATTCTTGTGTTTACTGTGACTTTAAAACAGTGGGAAACCACAGAAAAAAATAAAGTACCAATCACAATAAAAACCTTTTCATGTATGTACTGTGACTATACGACATCTTATAAACAATCAATACAAAGTCACATATTTTCAAAACATAAAGAACACAATAAAGTTGCAATAAAATTAAAAACTTACCCATGTGTCTACTATGACTATACTACAACGAAAAACATCTGTTTACAAAGACATGTTTATAGTAAACATAAAGGACAAAATGACTTGGAAAATAAAGTAAAAATAAATATTAAACCCTTATCTTGTGTGTACTGTGACTATACAACATTTCTTAAACAATCATTGCAAAGGCACATATTTTTGATGCATAAAAAACAAAATGATATAAAAATAAAAACGTACTCTTGTGTGTACTGTGACTTCAAAACAATTGAAACCCAAAGGTTGCAAAATCACATCTACAGCAAACATAAGGAACAAAATGAGTTGGAAAATAAAGTGAAAATTAAAACTTACTCTTGTGTGTACTGTGACTTCAAAACAATTGAAAACCAAAGGTTGCAAAATCACATCTACAGCAAACATAAGGAACAAAATGAGTTGGAAAATAAAGTGAAAATTAAAACTTACTCTTGTGTGTACTGTGACTTTACAACAATAGAAAATCGTTTACAGAGCCACATATATAGCAAATATAAAGAACAAAATTAGTTGGAAAATAAAGTTGAAATAAAAACCAACTCCTGTTCATACTGTGACTTTACAATAGTAAGAAATCGAAGATTGCGAAACCACGTATTTAGCAAACAAAGAACAAAATGAGTTGGAAAATAAAGTGAAATTTAAAACTAATTCTTGTTTATACTGTGACTTTGCAACTGTCGGAAATCAAAGATTGCAAAATCACATTTATAATAAACATAAGGAACAAAATAAGTTGTAAAATAAAGTGGAAATTAAAACTTACTCGTGTGTGTACTGTGACTTTACAACGATGGAAAATCCACGGTTGCAAAACCATATTTATAGCAACAAAATAAAGTAGAAAATAAAGTCACAATAAAAGTTAAAACTTACTCTTGTGTGTACTGTGACTTTACTACAAGGGTAAACCGTTGTTTACAAAACCACGTTTTTAAAAAACATAAGGAACAAAACGAGTTGGAAAAAAAAAAATAAAATTAAAAAGGTTATCTTGCGTGTACTGTGACTATACTACATCGTGTAATCATATAAACACATGTTTATAAAACATAGAGAACGAAATGAGTTGGAAAAGAAAGTACCGATACAGATAAAAACTTACTCTTGTGACAACTGCGACTACATTACCGTGGAAAAAGCACGTTTCCACCCCCACATAGCTTTATGTAAAAATATAATATAATAAAGAAACAACTGTTACCTTAAATTGCTGACAAAAGTTAGTTTTTGGTATCATTAGGATTGTGAAGAAATTTTTGTATTTTTGGATATAAATTAAATTATCTTAAATAGTATGTATATTTTTTATTGTCCAAGTAATTTTTATTTTGATTATAAATTTATAAATATTATCTGCATATGTATATGTATACAAAAAGCTTAAAAGTTAAATTTACTAGGTTAAGCTCATAAGTACATAATAAGGTAATGAAATTACCTCGGAAATTACCTATTATATTAGTATAACAAAAGTTATAGTTTGTCCTTTAAACTTATATTGGACATAAACTTGTCTTGCTTATAAGCAAGAAGATTGTGTTTACATTTAGTCCAGCTTGGATTTAAATAGACTTAAGTTATGCTATAGCATAACTTAAGTCTATTTAAATCCAAGCTGGACTAAATGTAAACACAATCTTCCGAATCGACCAATAAGAGCTCACAATCCGAGTCACACCATCAGAATTGACCAATAGAAACGAGTTATCACGCGTCTGGGCATTTTTGTTTAGTCCAGCTTGGATTTGAATAGACTTTAGTAGTAACTAAGGAATAAAAGTAAAAAAGTATTATAAATAAAAAAGTATGTATTTTATTTGCCATCCCTTATCAGACAAGTTTTTTAAAACTTTTTTAGTCGAAATCATTTTTAGAAGAAGCATCTATTTCATTACATGTAATCAATAAAACAATTCTAAAAAAAACTAATATGACCGTTCTGGAGAAAATTAAATAAAACAGAAATCTGTATTCCTTCTAAAAATAAATAATAGAAAAACTACTTTGTGTTATTCTCATTAAAAAATAGTAGTTTAAGATAAAATATAAATATAAGTAAATAAACTAATAACTTATTTTGTTTCAGTGAAACATCAGCTGTGTGCAAAACGTTCTCTTGTGTGTACTGTGACTTTGCCTCTAAGGAAAGTCGCAATTTACAAAGCCACATCTATAGAAAACATAAGGAACAAAATGAGTTAGAGAAAAAAGTAGAAATAAACATACATATTTACTCTTGTGTGTATTGTGACTATACAACAGTAAGAAACCGTAATTTACAAAACCACATATGTAGCAAACATAAAGAACAAAACGATTTGGAGAAAAAAGTGCCAATAAAAGTAAAAACCCACTTTTGTGTGTACTGTGACTATTCAACAGTCGTACTTCAAAGTTTAAAGAATCACCTTTTTAGCAGGCACAAAGAACAAAATGAGTTGGAAAAGAAAGTAACGATAAAATTCAAAACTTTATCCTGTGTGTACTGTGACTACACAGCAGTAGGAAAGCAAAAGCTACATTACCACATATATAGAAAACACAAAGAACAAAACGAATTGGAAAAAAAAGTGTTAATAAAAATAAAAACCTACTCTTGTTCGTACTGTGACTATATAACAATGGAAAAACGGTTGTTACAAAAACATTTGTTTAAAAAACATAAAGAACAAACTGATGTAAAAATTAAAGTATGGAAAAAAGGACAAAAATCTTGCATGTACTGTGACTACAAAACATTTAAAACTCATTTGTTACAAAACCATACCTATACCAAACATAAAGAGCAAAGTAAGTTGGAAAATAAAGTATCACTGAAACTAAATACATACTCTTGTGTGTACTGTGACTTTTCAACAGTGGAAAACCAAAGATTGCAAAACCACATTTATGGCAAACACAAAGAACAAAACGAGTTGGAAAATAAAGTGGCAATAAAAGTAAAAACCCACTTCTGTGTGTACTGTAACTATTCAACAGTCATACATCAACATTTAAAGAATCATCTTTTTAGCAAACACAAGGAACAAAATGAGTTAGAAAAGAAAGCAACGATAAAAGTCAATACTTTATCCTGTGTGTACTGTGACTATAAAGCAGTAGGAAATCAAAAGCTACATTACCACATTTATAGGAAGCACAAAGAACAAAATGAATTGGAAAAAAAAGTGTCAATAAAAATAAAAACCTACTCTTGTTTGCATTGTGAGTTTACAGCAATAGAAAAACGCTTGTTACAAAAACATTTGTTTAAAACACATGAATAACAAACTGATGTAAAAATTAAGGTATGAAAAAAAGCGGGTTATCACTACAAAACTTATAATACTCAATTGTTAGAAAACAATACCTATACCACACATAAAGCAAAGTAAGTAAAAAAATAAAGTAATAATTAAACAACAAACTTACTCTTGTATGTAATACACACTGTGTATTGTGACTTTACTTCTATATCACATAACATAGAATCATTAAAAAGACGCATATTTGGAAAACATAAAAAACAAAATGAGTTAGAAAATAAAAAAGCTTTAAAAACTTACTGAATTATATATATTTTAACATAAAATAAAATACCTTTAGTAAAAGTATTTTTGTTATTGAATATTGTTTTAATTTGACAAATAACAATAAAAAAAATTTGGATTGTGTTTTTTCCTTAGTATTTAATACTAATTACTAATTAGGTACTTAAGTATAGGTATATTCCTTTATACGTAGTTTATGGTATATTTTACTATTATATAGGGAAGTGAACTAAATATGCTTAATAGGAATATTCATAAATGAACTTTCTATAGCAATTACTTTCTTAACATTCTAAGCATATGTTTAGAGTAGACTAATATTTACCACGAAAACTTTGCACCTTCTAAGAACCTGCCTATAGGCCAGTAAGAATATTCTTAGGATCATGCTATATGTCTTTTAAGCATGTTCTTTAGAAGAAATATAGCATGATCCTAAGAATATTTTCACTGAAAGGTTTAAAAAACATTCTTAGAATAAAGTGTGCTATCAGGGCAGTTGACTTATAATTGGTTTTAAATACGTACACTTAAATTGTAATGCATAGTTTTAAATATTAAATACTGTTGTTCAGTTCGAAGTAGTTTGTTTGTTATAACCTATCTTCAAAGAAAAAACCCATCACATCCATCATAATAAAAATAAACTTTTTGTTAATTGACTTATTTTGTTTCAGTAATACGTCAACCATATGTGGATACAACGAATGTTTTTTCTCAGGATCAGAATACGAAGTAACCCAACATATGATCACAGACCATGAGCATAAGCCAACTAATAAAAATCCAAAGTTCTCTTGTATGTACTGTGACTACAATACACCTTATAAACAATCATTGCAAAGGCATATATATATCAAACATAAAGAACAAAATGAGGTTGCAATAAGTATAAAAACATACTCTTGTGCATTCTGCGACTTCAGAACAGTGGATAATCAAAAGTATCAAAACCACATTTATGTCAAGCATAAAGAACAAAATGAGATTGCTGTTGGTGTAAAAACTTACTCTTGTATGTACTGTCAATTTACCACGATCCAAAATCGTCATTTTCAGTACCACATATTTAGCAAACATAAAAAACAAAACGAGTTGGAAAACAAAGTAGAAATTAAAATAAAGACGTACACCTGCGTGTACTGTGACTATTCTTCATATTGCAATCAATCGTTGCAGAAGCACATATTCAGCAAACATAAAGAACAGAACGAATTGGAGAAAAAAGTAGAAATTAAAATAAAAACCTACCCGTGTGTGTACTGTGACTATTCTGCGTATAGCAATAGATCGGTGAAAAGGCACATATTTAGAAAACATAAATATCAAACTGAGCTGGAAAACAATTCGAAATAAAAATGTATTTAAAAAGCTTTAAGTATGTAAAATTCTGTTAAAATGTTGCAATTTATTTTTGTGCATCAAAATAAATAAAGTTTTAAATTTTTTCTTTTACAGTATCACTTGTACCGGTCAGACGTATATACACTCACGTGCAAAATAATCGATCCACACAAATTTTCGATGAATTTCAATCGCAAATAACTTTTTTATTTGATGTCGGATTTAAACGAATATTAAAGAATATTGTAGATAAATTAATGGACAATCGCTCACATTTTAAAAAATTACTAAAAAATAGACGAACGTTTATAATATACAGGTTTAAACAAAAAGATGTTTTTTACCATAAGTTTAAGACACTCT